AAGTACAATTTAACTACTAAATTTAAAGCATCATTTAGCTCGGTTTCAGACCATTTGAAATTCTAATACGTAACACGTTTAATTACCAATCTGTAACTGTTTATAACACAGCTCTGCAGTTATGTTTTACAGGTAGTGAAACAAAGTATGTTTGTTTGTAAATACTAGACTGTACGAAATGTACAGGTGTAGGTATGTAAGTGAACAGGCTAGAGAGCAAATAATCTTAACCAGAAGAAACAATACATTAAAGTATACAGGGACTGAACAAAAAATTACAAACATCTAGAAGAAGAGGCTTTAATAACATATGCGTTACACTTCTGGCTGTTAGAACTGTTCCGTTTTTTTACGAGTTCCTGATATGTATGCTGAGGAATTATGTTCCCTTCCTAGAGGATACAATTTGATATATGTTATGATCTTTCAACCACTGTTACGTTTACCTGATGAGACTTGAGGGATAATCGTCATACTGTAATTTACTTTTGATAATGTTCTTCAAAACCAAGAAGTTGTGCAATTTAGGTTACTAAGGCACCTAATAATCGGACTCCTACAATCTAGAGACAAACCATAGTAACTGAAACAAACTATCAAAATATTTAAAAGTTAGAAAAACTAGTTAAGCTACACTTTTTTCCCCATGTTCCTTGATACTTAACGTGGAATATAGCTAAAATATGGTAAACATATATAGGTCACTTTTCTAAAAGGTCATTATGAAAATATATTAATCAGTCAACTGAAGATCTAGTTTTTCTAACATCCGAAGAAGAATGAGCTCTTTAAGTAAGTGTTTCTATTTTTGTTTTTCCAACCCTTGTACTTATTATGGGACTTATTATTAAGTTTAGAAAGATGTACCGCTATCCAATTAACTAAATAAACAACAGTTTACTTTATTCTGTTGAAAAGTGATATTTGACTGCCACAGAAATTATCCTAGCACAATTTTCAAAATAAATAAAATATTTTTATATGACGTGGTGCTCACTAACAAGTTAATTCAAAGTATTTTCAGTCACTTTTAAGCATGCGAAAATGTTCTACGAGTCCAAAATGTTAAGTATAATGACGAAAGTTGTTAATAAATGTAATATGAGTCTAAACGGTTTGGTTGAACTTACTGTACGGCAAATGAATGTAGCCCGAATGTAAGGTCTTGAATGTAAGTTACGACCATGTGTATTCCAACGTATTGAATAGACTGTGGTATTGTTTTTAACAAGTACACTAATCGGTTAAAGTATTGAATATACTGAACAGATGATAAGTTTTAACAAGGTACTGTTAGACTAAGGTTTGAAATATGATGATTATATGAGGCATTACAATTATACTGCTGGTTTAAAGCTCTGAATAAATTATAATGTTAGTATTAGTTATTACTTACCTAGGATTATCACACTCCCTGACTGATCTTTGTATACCACCACCGCATTTTCTAGAGCAGTGACCATAGCTTTGCCACTCACCCCACTGACCGTGTATGGCTTCCTGTCTACGCTTATCAATCTGGACGCACTCACCACGCTTACACCACTACCAAATTTAAAAGAATTACGAATAAAAATATATTCAATTCACGAATTAAAGCTCAGAGAATGATTTCATTTTGAAATTCTAAATGAAAAATATATTTCCACCCCCTCAATTATACATGACTCTTTTCATATACTTACGAATTACATAAAAACAGAAATGTGAATTTTCCCAATATTTATTCATTATGTGCATTTTATAAACATTAATTTTCAAAGTATATTAACTCCAACACGTTGATATAACCATATATTTATTTCCTAAAATATGTTTTTAGTCGCGCTCTTTAGTCCTAATCATTTGTTTGTTTGTAGTTATGCACAGAGCTACGCAATGGGCTATCTGTGCTCTGCCCACTACGGGTATCGAAACCCAGTTTCTAGCGTTATAAGTCCGCAGACATACCGCTGTGCCACAAAGCTGTTTCTCATGATACAACTTAAAACTGTTGGAAATGCTTTTGATATTTTTTTACCTCTCTGTGTGCATTAAAAAGATTAAAGAAGTAAAACTGTCAAATTTAAAATTATAAATAAAAATCATTATAGAGGGTGTTATTAAATATTTGTCAATAAAAATCATTATACAGGGTGTTATTAAATATTTGTCAATAAAAATCATTATACAGGGTGTTATTAAATATTTGTCAATAA